CACCATGCCCAGCTGATTTTTTCTATATATATATTTTTAGTTGTCCAGATAATTTCTTTCTATTTTTTCATAGAGACAGGGTCTCGTTCTTGCTCAGGCTGATCTCGAACTCCTGAGCTCAAACGATCCACCCGCCTCAGCCTCCCAGAGTGCTAGGATTACAGGCGTGAGCCACTATGCCCGGCCTGAGAAGCAACATACTTTTTAAAAAATCTCTTGTCCCTAAGAATTGCAATTCTTAAGGTATTTAGTAAGATTTTATAATTGTATATTGCTTTTCATCTATAAATGTCATAAAGCAACTCACAAATTATTTTCCGATTTTTATCCCCAAGAATTCAGTTTTATTTTCTATGATATTTAGTACAAGTGTACACAGCAAATATCATTTTCTAGTGCTTTTAGATGAAAATTGAGAAAGATACTGTTCAAATGAAACTTTGAGCAGTAAAATGACATCCTGGCCTGGTTGTAAGAATAATGTCTCTCAGTTACTTCTTGCCATGGAACAAACTACCCCAAATGTAATGTCTTAAAACAGCAGCAGTGTATTGTTTCTCATGATTTTGTAGTTTGGGCATTTCTGGCGATCTTGTGTGGTTGGATCTCAAGCAGCTGCCTTTAGCTGCTACTTGGGCTGGGCTGGAAAATCCAAGGAAACCTTTCTCACGTGTCTGGGGGACTGGTGGTGACTGTTGGCTGAACCACATGTGGTTCTTCTCCACATGGTCCCTCTCTCTGTGATACTTACCTTCTGGGGCCCTGCTACCTGGCCTCCTTCTCCAGCAGGGTAACCTGGACTTGCAAACAGCATGAGAGCTGGCTTTCTAGTTCTAACGAGGGAGAAAGCATAAACTGCCAGGCTTAAAGGCCGTGTCTAGAACCGGCATAGGCTCTATTTGGTGTAATATTTTGTGTTCAAAGCCAGATACAAGGCTAGCCCAGGTAGAAGGAGAATCGAGTCCACTTCTTCATGGGAAGAGTGAAATGTGCATGCAAAGGTCGGGGCGGGAAATCATGGCGGCCTTCTTGGGAGATTACCTAGCACAAACGGCTTTGTGTTTTGTAATAACCCCTGATTTCTTTTTTTACTCTATTAATGAAATTAAATCTACCTAGTAAATGTCACTGGTTCAACTGACACTAGTTTTCTTACCAAATTTCAAATATTTAGAGCCCCGTGTTTGACTTTTGGTTGGATTAATAAATGTATTTTGTTATTTTCCCTGCTGTCTCTTTGCTGCTTACCTTTTACATTGAATTAGAGATATTATTGAATGCTTAAAACATTATGACTTGACATTTGGGGAAAATTATCAAAATTATAGGCAGCAGATGTTGTTGAAAATGTAGGCATTCATTTCTAAAAGTTTCAGATTTCTTACATATATGTACATGAGGCATATTGGTCTGTAGTTTTCTTGCATTGTGTTCATCTGGTTTTAGTATCAGATGATGCTGGCCTCAGAGTGAATGGGAAATATTTTCTTGTTGAAATTTTCAGGTAGAGTTTGTATAGAATTGGTATCATTTCTTCTTTAAATGTTTGTAGAATTCACCAGTTAAACCATCTGGGCCTGGAGTTTTCTTTGTTGAAAGGTTTTTTGCTATGAACTCAATTTTCTTAGTATATATAGGGCTATTCACGTTACCTATTTCTTTTAGAGTGAGCTTTCTTTTTTTTCTTTTGAGACAGAGTCTCGCTTTGTTGCGCTGGCTAGAGTGAGTGCCGTGGCGTCAGCCTAGCTCACAGCAACCTCAAACTCCTGCCTGGGCTCAAGCAATCCTTCTGCCTCAGCCTTCCGAGTAGCTGGGACTACAGGCATGCACCACCATGCCCGGCTAATTTTTTTCTATATATTTTTAGTTGTCCAATTAATTTCTGTTTTTAGTAGAGACAGGGTCTTGCTTTTGCTCAGGCTCGTCTAGAACTCCTGACCTTGAGTGATCCACCCGCCTCGGCCTCCCAGAGTGCTAGGATTACAGGTGTGAGCCACCGCGCCCGGCCTAGAGCGAGCTTTCTTAGTTTGAGACTTTCAAGCAATTTGTTTATTTCATCCAAAGTGTTTATTTTATTGATACAAAGCTGTATTTGTTTTAGTATCCGTAGACTCTATAGTGATGTTACCTGTCATTCGTGATACTGGTAATTTGTGTCTTCTGTCTTTATTTTCCTATATAATCTGGCTAGAAGTTTATCGATTTTTATTGATTTTCTCAAAGAACCAGATTTTGGTTTCATTGATTTTCCTCTATTTTTTTTCATTGTTTTTAAATTTTAATTGATTTCTACTTTGATCTTTATCATTTTCTATCATCTAATTCTTTTGGGTTTAATATGCTTTTTGCTCCCCCCATAGTTTCTTAAGAAAGAAGCTGAAGTCATTGATTTGAGACATTTAGCACATTTATGTCATATGATGATAAACAGAAAAAAAAATCATAAAAGGCACTAAAATATTTAATTACTTCTGATTATAGAATAAAACCTTTATACTTGTTATTCATAAACCTTTAAACCAAGTTTAAATTTAAGAAAGTAAACGGAGCATACATAATTACCTCCCTTTTGTCTAAAAACCCATTAAAATGATAGTAAAGGAATTTCATAAGGGGATAAGTTCACAAAAATGAAAAGCTGAGTGGGGGAGGGGCAAGTGATTTCAAAATTTTGGAAGTTTGGCCAGGCGCGGTGGCTCACGCCTGTAATCCTAGCTCTCTGGGAGGCTGAGGCGGGCGGATTGTTCGAGCTTAGGAGTTCGAAACCAGCCTGAGCAAGAGCGAGACCCCGTCTCTACTAAAATTAGAAAGAAATTAATTGGACAACTAAAAATATATAGAAAAAATTAGCCGGGCATTGTGGCGCATGCCTGTAGTCCCAGCTACTCGGAAGGCTGAGGCAGGAGGATCGCTTGAGCCCAGGAGTTTGAGATTGCTGTGAGCTAGGATGACGCCATGGCACTCTAGCCTGGGCAACACAGTGAGACTCTGTCTCAAAAAAAAAAAAAAAAAAAATTTTGGAAGTTTGTGGAAGGATGGTGATAGATAAAGCAGAGCAGGAAACGTGCACACAGAGGGGACTATAAAGTATAAGTGACAGGTCTGCCTGGCAAATCCTGGGAATCACCTGATTTACCAATAGGAATGAGAAATGAAACCAAAAACAGACTGATTAATTAAAAACATTCTCCTTAGAGCTCCTTGCCTTCCTGTTCTAAATTGCCCCAATTGTTCTCTCATAAGTTATAACTGCTGTCTTTCTTAGATTTCTTTTCACTGAGTTCTCCAAGGTTGCTCTCAATATGTCTTACAAACATACCTTTCTGTTTGTCGGATTCCATCATCATTTTGCTGGAGTACATTCTCAAATAGCTCCTTCCAAAGTACTGCTCCCTTAGGCATATTTGGAAATGTTTGTGTAGGATATTTTTGATTATCACATTGTCCAGGGGTAGCAGCAGCACTAAATCCTTGAAAACTTGAGTCCTTGAGAATGAGTGAAAGTGATTTTTCCCCCTTTGCCATTTCACTTGACTGATTATTTGACTGGCTGAGGAACTCTAGGTTCAAAATCATTTCTCCGGTGTCTGAGACCTGCTTAAATTATTTTTGGCATCCATGACTGCTGATGAGACAGCCAATGCCAGTCTTACTCTTTTTCATGTAAGAGTACTTAGAAATTTGTAAAATTTGTTTTTGAATGAATATTGCAAACATACATATATGCTAACAAATAAATTGCATCTAATACTTCATATTATGTTTTAATTTGTATTTTTCAGACAATGAACGATTTTGACTATTTGAAACTACTAGGTAAAGGCACTTTTGGGAAAGTTATTTTGGTTCGAGAGAAAGCAAGCGGGAAATATTATGCTATGAAGATTCTGAAGAAAGAAGTCATTATTGCAAAGGTAACTGGTACTAGAGTTCATTACTAAATTTTATGTGCAGTGTGCATGTGTGTATGCATTTACATGCTAAAGTGTGGAAATTTCATTAAACAACCAAAATATGATTGTAGGCTACTGCTACAGTAATTTGTGTATTAATATTTATAATGTTAAAAGTTTTCAAAAGTTTATAATATCTGAATATTAAATATTAAAACTATTTTGTTCTCTTGAGGGACTAGAGATATTTATTCTATATTTATATGTTTGGGACAATGATTTTGCTTTATATTTGTAATCTCTATCAGCAGTTATACTAGTATTGCTTTTTAATATTTTCTCCCAGTGTTCTAAATTTCTTATTAAAGAAAAGATTGATTAGAATAGTGTAGATGGTTTGTACTCATAAATTATGAAGTTTATGTGACATTGAGTGGAAAAGCATCCTAAATAGATTTGAAAATACTAGATGGTGAAACTAAAATAAATAATAGTCTTTGAAATTCTTTTAGGAGGCTTTAACCTCCATCCCATACCTTTATTCAGCTTAAATGTTTACAAATTATTAACATGTTAATGATGCCAGTTCTCACTCAGAGTTCTGAATCGATTCTCAAGTTCCTCAGTAGACAAATTTGATATACTTTACAATTGGTCTATGCTTTATGTTCTACTTAATTCAATAAATAACACATACAATATTATCACTATACTTTGTAGACTACTTTAACTTTCGGCTATTTGCTATCATAGTGTCCTCATCTGAAGTGTATTGTGCCATACACTTCATGAAAGCATGTTCCTCCCATCTTTATACATTTGTTTCAATCTCAGTTCCTTCAGAAGTCAGTGTCCCCTACTGGAAAGAACATTGAGTTTGGAGTCATATAAGCTGAAGTTCCCATCCCACCTAATAACCTTTAACAACCAGTTTTTGGGGGAGTACTGTTCCCTTGGAGCATTTGGAAATCTTTGGGGGGTGATAATTTCCTTATCACAATGACTCAGGGGGAGGGGCAATTCTGACAGTCACCAGGTAGAAGCCAGACATGCTAAATATCCTGCAGTGCATTGGAGAGCCCATTAAAGCCTTAGTTTTTTTCATTTGTAAAACTGGTAGAATAAAAACTTCAGACAGGAATATTTTGAAGAATAGGATATATAAAGTATTTAGAATAGTACCTAGCACTTAATTAAACTGATATTTTTCTGGGAGGTAGTAAAGTATAGTAGGCTCTGCCACTTAGGAAATGGTCCCAAATAAATTACCCAACTTTTTATGCCTTTGTTTTCTCATCTGCAAAATGGGGCTAATAATAGTACCCACCTCATAGGATTATTATCAGGGTTACATGAATAGATAAATGTAATAATGTTTGCCATAATTTTTAAATAAATTTAACAAATTAAATTACATATTGAATAAAATTACATTAAAATTAAAATAGTATTAAATGGAAAATATTATTATAAATATTTGCTGCTATTATTATTACCATCCACTGTATATCAAGCATCGGTATGTGTACCAGTTCCATTCTATTTCTCCTTTTATATACTAGCCTCAGTTATTCCCCATTATTTAATTTCTGTTCATCATACTTGAGAATATTTTATTAGACACTGTTTTTATCTCACTAATTACTTATACTTTTCCTGAGCAATTATACAGAATTTGGTATATTTCACAAATGATGGAATATTCTGATTGATGTAGTTCCTGTCTGCTTTCCCCCAACAAATCCATTTATTAATTTTTTCAAAGATAATATGCTTGTTGAGAAGGAGTTTGACAATGAAAGAAAAAAAAATTAAAAAAAAAAGTATGCTTGTTTATAGCAAAATAATTAACACTGTGACATTTTGGAGTCTGACAAGAGCAGGGGTTTGGATCCTGATGATCAGAGAGTAAATGGTGTTCATGGGTCTTTTTATTGGTGACATTAACTGATCACCTGATTAAAGTGGTATCTACTGAATTTCTCCTCTGTAAAATTACTATTTTTCCCTTTGTAATAATAAATATCTTAGAGGAAATACTTTGAGACTATGTGAATATCCTGTTTCTTCTTAAGCTTTCATCTTCTAATTTTAACATCCATCAGTGATTTCTGTCTACGATAATGATAACTGTTGTTTAATGATGATGTTCTATTTCCCTCATTCCTAATACATTTATTGTTAGTCTAGCTAAAGGCTTTGTCCATTTTGTCTTTTCAAAGAACCAAGTTTTGTTGATTTTCTGTTTCCTTCTCTCAATTTTTTTAAATTTTTGATTTAATCTTTACTTTTTTCCTTCCTTCTGCTTGCTTTGGTTTAGTTTTTTTTCCCAAGTTCCTTAAGTTATAAAATTAGGTTGTTGATTCAAGATCTTTTTTATTTTTTAACGTAAGCATTTATAGCTATAAATTTCCCCCTTAGCACTGCTTTTTCTGCAGCCTATAAGTTTGGATGATGTTGTATTTTTGTTTTCATTCATCTCTAAGTATTTTCTAATTTCCCTGTGATTTCTCCTTCTATCCATTGGTTGTTTAAGAGTCTGTTGTTAGGCCGGACGCGGTGGCTCACGCCTGTAATCCTAGCACTCTGGGAGGCCGAGGTGGGCGGATTGTTTGAGCTCAGGAGTTCGAAACCAGCCTGAGCAAGAGCAAGACCCCGTCTCTACTAAAAATAGAAAGAAATTAATCGGACAACTAAAAATATATAGAAAAAATTAGCTGGGCATGGTGGCGCATCCCTGTAGTCCCAGCTACTCGGGAGGCTGAGGCAGAAGGATCACTTGAGCCCAGGAGTGTGAGGTTGCTGTGAGCTAGGTGGGCGCCACGGCACTCACTCTAGCCTGGACAAAAAGAGTGAGACTCTATCTCAAAAAAAAAAAAAAAGAGTCTGTTGTTTAACTTCACAAATTTGTGAATTTTCTAGTTTTCTTTTTATTATTTATTTCTACTTCATCCATTGTAATCGGAGAAGATACTTTGTATTTGTCTTTTTAAATGAATTGAGACTTAATTTGTGACCGAACATATGGTCTATCCTGGAGAGTGTCTCATGTAAACACGAGAACAATGTTGTTAGGTAGAGTATCTTGTGTATGTCTGTTAGATCTAGTTGCTTTATTGTGCTGTTCAAGTCTTCTGTTGCCTCATCTTCTGTCCGGTCATTCTATCTGTTATTGATAGTGTGGGGTATTGGAATCTCCAAATATTACTGTAGAATGGTCTATTTCTTTTTTTAGTTATGTCAGTTTTTCATATATTTAGATGGTCTGTTACTAGGTATGTAAATGTTTGTAATTGTCATACCCTCTTGTTGCATTGGACCTTTTTGTCAGTAATGTCTTTTTTGTCTCTTGTAACCTTTTCCACTTAAAGTCTGTTATGTCTGATACTATAATAGTATAGCTACCCCTGCTCTCTTTGGTTTACTCAAGTTGCCTCCCTCTCCATCTGTGGTATTGCTTTCTGCGAGTTAAGTTACCTATGGTCAACTGCAGTCCAACAATAGATGAATACAGTAAAATAAGATATTTTGAGAGAGAGAGAAAAAGATACCATATTCACAGAAGTTTTATTACAGTGTATTGTTGTAATTGTTCTATTTTATTATTAGTTATCATTATTAATCTAATTTTAACATTCATTTATAATGGATGTATCTAATTTATAAATTACACTTTATCATAGGTATGTATGTGTAGGAAAGAACATAACATATACTGTCAGCCCTCCTTAACTGTTGGTTCTTCATCCACAGATTCAACCAACCAAGGATTGAAAATATTAAAAATAATAATAACAATAATGATACAACAATAAAAATGATACAAATAAAAACCAATATACTATAACAACTATTTGCATAGCATTTACATTGTATTAGGTCTTAAAAATAATCTCGAGATGATTTAAATTATCTGGGAGGATCTATGTAGGTTATATACAATACTATGCTATTTTATACAAGGATCTCAAGCATCTGTGGATTCGGGTATCTGCAGGGATACCCAAATGGGTATTGCTTGGAAGCAACCCCTGCAGATACCAAGGGATGACTGTATAGGGTTCGATACCATCCATGGCTTCAGGCATCGACTTGGAGATATTGAAACATAACCCCAGCTGATAAGGGGCACAATATTTGCATGGATATCTTTTTTTCTCTTTTACTTTTAACCTGTTTGTGTATTTGGATCTAAAGTGAGTCTCTTGTAGACAGCATTGAGTTGGCTCATACTTTTTGTGTGTTTGTTTAATTCATTCCTAGTCTCTGTGTTTTGATTGGAGCGTTTAATCCATTTTCATTTAAAGTAATTCCTGGTAAGGAAGGACTTAGGTCATTTTTCTATTTATTTTCTATATGTCTTACAGCTTTTTTGCCCCTTATTTCTTGCATTACTGTTGCCTTTTGGGTTTAGTTGTCTTTTGAGTGAAACATTTTAATTCCCTTCTCATTTTCTGTAACTATTTTCTTCATGGATACCAGAGAGATTGTATTTAATATCCTAAAGTTGTAATACTCTAATTTGAATTTATACTGCCTTAACTTTAATAACATATAAAACTCTGCTTCTTTATAGCTCTAGTCTTACTTATTTTCAGTTGTTGGTATATTAAAATGACATCTTTATGCATTATGTGTCCAAAAACATAGACTATTAATGTTTTAATGCATTAGTCTCTTAAAACATGTAGAAAAGAAAAAGTGTCGTTATAACCCAAAGTTACAATAATACTACCATTTATAATTGCTCAGGTATTTACCTTTACTCGGGATCTTTTTCTCCATATGGCTTCAAGGTACTGTCTAGTATACATTCATTTCAACCTGAAGGGACTGTCTTTAGTATTTCTTGCAGGGCAAGTCTAGTGGTAGTAAACTCCTTCAGTTTCTGTTTATCTGATAGTGTCTTAACTTCTTATTTTTGAAGGATAGTTTTGCTGGATATAGGATTCCTGGTTGACTGTTTTTTCCTTTAGCTCATTGAATATATTAATATCAACCTATTTCCTTCTGGCCTGCAA